TTCACTAATTTTATGCACTAATTCAGATTTTTTGTTATCCAAAGCATTCTGAACATTTTAGTAGTGTGTTAAATTGAATTAAATTTTGACATGGTGACAAAGTTTCCTTTAGACTTTATGCATCTTGTATGCTTAGTGGTATGCGAAAACTCATTAACTTATGGTTAAATTACCCAAATATTGTAAATTGTCTCAGATTACAGTCAATACTTTCTCTGGCGGATTATTCCAGATACGTCATTACATTCCAAGAAATTTCTCTAGAAAACCAAAGTCTTAATTATGATATTAAAAAATGGAAAGCAACTGAACTTTTACTATTTCTAGTATACTTTGAGCCTGTTGTTTAAAGGGAATGGTTGAACCAAAAATATTTTCAAACTTTTTAGGTTTTTCAGTTGCAGTTCTAATTTGATGTTTTATTTTGTTGAAAAAATATATTAATTTTGCTTGTCAGCTACATATTTTGGGCAGTTTTATTGGTTAAATTTTTCTTATACAAAGACCAAAAGGTTGCTCAAATAAACATGCACAAGAAGATAAACAAAAGTTTAGTATTCCTTATTTTGATGGTAGTAATCATTGTATTGAGACACTGTTTACAGTTTAATAATTATCAAGGTTTAGAGTGTTTTGTTTCAGCTAATGAAAGTGATAATTGTTTTGAAATTACAAAAACAAATGGTCAAGGTAAAAAGGTTTTAAAAAGCAGACAAATCTTATAACAAATAGATTATGTTTGAGGAATTTGCAACTTTTTAGTTGTTTTATACATACATATATATATATATATATATATATATATATATATATATATATATATATATATATATATATATAAATATATATATATATATATATATATATATATATATATATATATATATATATATATATATATATATATATATATATATATATATATATATATATATATATATATATATATATATATATTAGGGTGGTCCATAAAACAACTTTTTTGAGAAAAACCTGCTGACACCCCCTAAATGTGTTTTATCTAATGCAAAAACACTAGGTTTAAAATTTTTTTGAACAAAAATTATTTTTAGGGGTAGCTCAAGGCCCTCAAAAATTTGACGGGTCCCTAATATTTTAAAAAAAAAACTTTTTCTAAAGTATGTCAACCTGGTACTCAAAATAAGCAAAATTATATAAAAAATTTAAAAATGATAATAATTTTTTATAAAAATAATTTTTTTAGGTATAAATGCATAAAAACTATTGTTTTTAAGCTGAAAATAAAAAAAGTCAATATTTTCAGGTTTTTTGAGAATAATTTTTTTTAGGCATGTTTTTTATGTAAAATGATTATTATTTTTGAAGTTTTTATACAATATCGCTTCTTTTGAGTACCAGGTTGACATACTTTAGAAAAAGTTTTTTTTTCAAAATATTAGGGACCCGTCAAATTTTTGAGGGCCTTGAGCTACCCCTAAAAATAATTTTTGTTCAAAAAAATTTTAAACCTAGTGTTTTTGCATTAGATAAAACACATTTAGGGGGTGTCAGCAGGTTTTTCTCAAAAAAGTTGTTTTATGGACCACCCTAATATATATATATATATATATATATATATATATATATATATATATATATATATATAAATATATATATATATATATATATATATATATATATATACATATATATATATATACATATATATATATATATATACATATATATATATATATATATATATATATATATATATATATATATATATATATATATATATATATATATATATATATATATATATATATATATATATATATATATATATATATATATGTGTGTGTGTGTGTGTGCGTGTGTGTATGTGTGTATATATATAAGCAGAGCTTTGTCTAGGGGGCTCATTTGCAAATTTAGAGGCCCTTTTACAAATGTCAAGATTTTTTTTTTATTTAGTATTTTTATTTAGATTTTTTTTATTTATTGGAAAAAGTTCTTAAGAATTTTGGGGCCCTTATGACAGGTTTTTTTTTTCGAATGGGAGGGTGGCTTGTATCTAGAAGCCACGGCACTTTAAATAAGGTATATAAAATATATATGAAATTATATACAATATAAATATAAAATTATATTTATTTAATAATTTTATATAATTTATTTATCAGTAACTAAAGAAATGATATCAATTTATTATATAAATCACAAACATATGCTTTGATTCATGTAATAAATTGATAATATTCCTCTATTACAAGTACATTTTAAAACGTTGAAATAAATATCGATTATAAAATTAAAGGTTATATTTTATTATAGTTTTTAAATTGTTTTTTATAATTATTTGAATAGTTAAAAAATAAATTATTTTTCGCCTCTGCTTTTTCCTTATGCTTTCCTAGCAGTGGTGAACCTAGAGTTCATATTTGGGATACACTTTTGATGCGGTGAAAACCCTAACCCTGCCGCGAACCTATTTGCTAATATCACTGGCTAAATAAACTAGCTTAAATATACAGAAAACTAGAATTTGATATAACTTTTTTTTTCTTTTTTAAATATGGAAAAAAAAAAAAGGAATTACTATTTTGAGGCATTATTTTAGCGTTCATACCGGTCCTATGGTACCAAAAAAGGTATGGGTTCACCCCAGCTCATATCATACGATGCAACTTGTCTTGCATAGCTTCAAGAAGTTAAACCTTAAATACTTTAGTTTAGCATAAAATTTTACATTCATAAAATAATGGAAATGCTAAGCTAAAGTATTTTGTTTTAACTTCTTGTTTTAACTTTCTCACTTTTCGTTCCCTAGGGTATAAGAAAACATCATGATAATTGTCAAATTTTCTTTTCAGTGGTCTTGTTTTATCACATAATTGACTTGAATCAACAACACTTTTATTTGCTATAGGGAATGACAGTTTCATTAAATAAAGGCAAATCTTCAATAAATTCAAGAAATACTATTAGTTGCGTTCTAGTTTCTTTGAAACTATTTATAGACAAAATTCTAAATGAATGAAATATAAGGAACATTTTGAAAAAATAAACAAAAATTTAACAACTTTTCCATAATATATTATGAAAAATACATTATTGCTGTGTGACTATCTAGCCGATGTAAATCTACATTCGTAACTTCGAAGCATACAGTTTCAGTTGTATTAACATAATGAATAAAATTTGAGTTTAAGTTAAAATCCATTTGTTTCTTATTAGCTTTTTTCAGAGATATTTCAGATTGAGAATTTATGGTACTGTTTTTGCACAAATAAAAACATGATTCTTATATTTGATGGATATATTTGATGAATAGAATAAAGATAATTCTGTGAATCAGGCACGTGCAGTATAGAAAGGTTTGACTCAATGTCAAACTTTTCTATACTGCCAATTAGATAGAAAGGAGGAAATCTTGAAATTGGATAGAGCTGGCACCGTTTAGCTATCGATGTAACCCACTATAAATCAGAGATTTATTTGTCCATTATTGACTGTAGCAAAAGGAGCAAGTTAGCAATTTGGAGAAAGCTACAGAACGAAAAAGAAACAAAAGTGTGCTTCCATTTAAAAAAAATATTCCGAGAAAAAAGACTTCCTTGGCAAGTCCGACTAGACAACAACAAGACTTTTCGATCCAAACTCGTTGGTGAATTATGCGCAGAATGGGGAGTGTCCATCTTGTTTCGTTGCGCTTACAGGCCATCTGGAAATGGAATTGTTAAACATCATCATCGCTCAATCAAGCGTATGGCAACCAGAAATGGCAAAGATCCGTTCAAAATGGTATATTGGAACAACGTGGCTCCCAGAAAAACGTAAAGAAAACATCAGTACAAACGAAAGTTTCCGAATAAGTATGCGGACTTTGTGATCTAGAGATCAAGGGGTGTTGTGATTAGTGTGAATAATTGCATTATATATAAACTATTATTGTGTTGCGTCAGAAGGAACTTTGTGGGTGTGTCATATATATTGTATATAACGTTTATATCTTATACTGCTGAGTTAGGTGAGCATGATGATGCCACACTCACCTAACTTCAAATAGCCTGCTGCCGGGGGCTTATATATATATATATATATATATATATATATATATATATATATATATATATATATATATATATATCTATATCTATATATATATATATATCTATATCTATATATATATATATATATATATATATCTATATCTATATATATATATACATATATATATATATATATATATATATATATATATATATATATATATATATATATATATATATATATATATATATATATATATATATATATATATATATATATATATATATATATATATATATTGAGTAAAGATATTCACAAAGACAGTGAGAAAAAACAAATATAGGTTTATTATTACAATTAGATAATTTAAAGTTAAGCCAAACTTAAGTCAGAAAATAGCAGACTTAACTTTTCTTGCGTAATGTTTGCTGAGCACTGTTTAGGAAAATGTTGTGAATACCGTTTTTTAGACTTATAGCGTATGTAATAACTTTCGTAAAAACTTTAGAAATTCAAATTTTGCGCAACCAAAAAGTTTTTGGCAAAGTTTGTGAATATGACTTTGAACTTAAGCAAAACTTACGCAAACTTTACGCAAGTTTTGGGCTTAGGAATCGTCCATAAATTACGCAACGAAAAATATATTTTAACAACTGAATTAGGAGAAATTAAGCTCTTTTACGCGGTGATTTTCATTAAACTTAATCGGCAATTTTAATTTTTTATATCAGCGAGGGAAAACTTCTTGTTTTGTTTATTGAGAAAGTTTACGTTACGTAGTTTATGGACTATCCCTTACGAAAGTGTTGTGAATCCGCAACCGAAACTTTCGACTTCGGTTCAAGGAAAATTTTAGGCGGAAACCATCACATTCTCAGAATAACGACTCTAACAATTCCCAGAAAAATTATCAAACCGGGATTTTATGCTTACAAAAAAAAAAAAAAAATCCCTGCTTTTTAAAAAATTTTCTGAATCAGCGAATGTCATTAATCACGTTTTATGTGAATTAAGAAACATGTTTATATACAAATATGGAAAATGAATTACACACTTTCTATTTAAAGATGAGAAAGTCAAATATAAAAGTGAAGGTTTATCGAAGTGAAACAAATCACAGCAAAGTAAAAAGGGTACACAAGTAATATACAAAAACTGGTTTTGCAAAGTGGCAGGAGTTAAGTTTGTTAAATTCAATCCACTGTTAAACGTTTTTTCTTTATAAAGGTAAAGTTTATTGGTTCAATCTTAGAAAAATTTTATTTTATTTCTTAAAGTGTAAAAAAATTGTTTAACTCTTAAAAATGTGATATATATTTATTTTGGTACATATTTCTAAAATTGAATTCTCTTTTATTTAATAACTTTGCTCCAGTTTTTGAAAATCATAAAAAGAAATATTGAAATGCAAATTTAATACATAGCTTAAAACACCTTAATAAATAATTAATCTGAAAAAAAATTTTTTTGTTTTTGTTTTCAATGAAAAGAAATTGTCTAAAATGTGATATTGTAAAAGAATATCATTTCTTTGCAACCAATAATTAGGTTGTTTCTGAGTTAAAATTAAGAAAAAAAATCTAAGTTACCTGAGGTCATTGTTTTTTTTAGCATTAACTCTTATTTGATTATTTTACATGTTACATTTACACTTACTAAGAGACATCAGAGTTCAAGTATTATTTACCAAGTGACTTCAAATTTTTTAAGCTTATATTTTCATAATTTATTACAATATTTTAAAAAGGTTTCTCTTATAACTTTAAGCAGCTTTATTGAAACTTTAAAAGTGAACTAAACATGAAATCTGATGTTATTGACAAAAAGAGGTTTTAAACTTAAACATCAAATAGCAAAAGTCTTTTAAAAAATATTTTTTAAGTTTTTATTTAGTATAATTAAAAAATTTAATTTTACTATTTGTAAAAAAAAAAATAAACCTTTTTAGTTTTGAACTATTCTTATTATTAAATGCATTATTATTTCAAGTAACAGTAGAAGGGAGGGCAATTATTTAATACATTTATTTATAGCATTTATTTATTATATTTTTTATACAAACTACTTTGGAAGATTTTAGTTTTCACAAAAGTTTTTAATTTTGGAAATTTTAGAATGCAAAAATTAATTATGTAACCAATTAAGTTAGTTTTAGTAATTTGGAAATTGAATTTATCTTGCAAAATTATAATAAGTTTATTTATTTAATTTTAATGTATTTTTGACACTGTAGTTTATAAACTATTTGAAACTGACTAGTGTAAAGTAGTTAGTGATTGGTAGTGAAAGATGCATTTTTCAAATATTGTTTTCTATTGTATTTAATTTATCTATGAGTTTCTATTGATAAATTTAGTGTGAAAATGAATGATAAAAAACTTACTGTAGCATGCTCAACAGAATACAAAGACTATCCCTTTAAGGAAAAACTTGATATTTGGACTTTGATTTCTTTAAAAGCGCCTTCATTGGGAATGACTTTAGATGAAAAAGAACATAGAAAAAGAGCACCTATAGACCTTGTTGTAGTAATAGATAAGTCTGGATCAATGGCTGGTGAAAAACTTGCTCTTGTTAAAAAAACTTTGGAGTTTGTTGTATCACAACGTAAGCTTATTTTAGTTTTTTAAAAGTTTTACCTCTTCTAAATTTTATTAACTTGTAATGTTTTTTTTACAATTTAAAGTAAATGAAAAAGATCGACTTTGCCTTATTACATTTGACACAAGTGTTTATTTGGATTTTAAACTAACACCAATGACACCAATGAACAAATATCAGACCTTAAAAATTATAAAAGATATATCACCAGGATCAATGACTAATCTTTGTGGAGGTTTAATGAAAGGTTTATGTGAAGTTATTGATCGTGCTGATGAAGAAAAAAATGAAGTTGCATCAGTTTTATTGTTTACTGATGGTTTTGCTAATAAGGGTAGGTGAAAACATTAACATTAAAAAAATATTTATACACAATAGAAATATTATTTAAAATGGTTCCGAATACCTTTAAAATATGTAAATTATAACATAAAATAACATATATAATATATAATCAAAATTTGACTTTAAACATATATAATAAAAATATAATCTTAAATAGTTGTTTCCTAAAGGTGGTTTAACAAATATCTACTGTTCAAGTGTTTGTCAAAACTTTTTTTTATTGTTTAATGATTGTGGTTAATAGAACATTTTTCCTAACGATATTGTAACCACATCATCTACTAATGATGTTGTAATCACATCATCTACTAAAGAGCTTAAGATGCTAGTTGACAATAATCATATATATATATATATATATATATATATATATATATATATATATATATATATATATATATATATATATATATATATAATATATATATATGTATATATATAATATATATATATTATATATATATTATAATATATATATATTATATATATATTATAATATATATATATATATATATATATATTATATATATATATATATATATATATATATATATATATATATATATATATATATATATATATATATATATATGTATGTATGTATATATATATATGTATGTATGTATATATATATATATATATATATATATATATATATATATATATATATATATATATATATATATATATATATATATATATATATATATATATATATATATATATATATATATATATATATATATATGTATATATAGATATATATAGATGTTGTTTTTAGGTATAACAGAAACAAAAGGTATAATTGCTGCAATGAAAGATCCAAAAACATATGATGGACCTTCGTCTATGCTTAGTAATTATTCTGATTTTCAAATCATCAGGCATAGCTCAAGAACATATACACCTCATCAGGCATGGCTCAAAAACATATACAGCAACAATAAGGAAGAGGTTGAATCTTATTTTTTATATTTTAATGAATATGTTAGTATTTTTACAAAATTACTAAACACAAAATATGATATTAAAAAAAAAGTTTTTGAGTATACTCATTTAAACGTTTATGTGAGACGTTTTAATGGAAACTGGCATCTATATAAATCTACATATTAAATCAATTCATTATGGTCCCTTTTTCAGTTAGCTGTTTATTATTGTGACCTATTTTTATTGATATTTGTAAGAAACTTTGAAGTATTAAATATTTTTTTAGTCACAAACTGCTAAATATACCATTGGTATTGTTGGCCCTAAAACTGCAGATGCTTCAATTTATACTTTTGGTTTTGGATCTAACCATAATGCCCAAATGTTAAAAGAAATATCTGATGCTGGCAGTGGCATGTATTACTACATTGAAAATGTTGATATGGTAAACTTAATATATGTTTTATTTTTATTTTTTCATTTTTTATTTCAATATATTTCATATATTGTAAGTGTTAATACAATCTTTTTTTTAACATTTCAGTATAAAGTGTTGTTATTAATATGTGTCCTGTTTTTTATTTTGAAAATTTTTAAAGCTAAATATAAGTTTTAAAATAAAGTTTATAAATTTAAAAATTCAAAATTACAATTCAAAATTGGTAGTATAAAAAGAAAAGTTACAGTTTTGTGTCAAATATCAAAGTTTGTTGTAAGTGTGAGCACTGATCTTTTAAATTACAGTTTTGTGTCAAATATCTTATAAAAATTTTGTTGCAAGTATGAGCGCTGATCTTTTAAATTACAGTTTTGTGTCAAATATCTTATAAAAGTTTGTTGTAAGTATGAGCACTGATCTTTTAAATTACAATTTTGTGTCAAATATCAAAGTTTGTTGTAAGTGTGAGCACTGATCTTTTAAATTACAGTTTTGTGTCAAATATCTTATAAAAATTTGTTGTAAGTATGAGCACTGATCTTTTTTTTAGTGCATTGGAGTTTATTTGTTTGTAGTGTTGTAGTAATACTGTTGTTTCTTTTTTATTTTTGATGTTTCACATTCTTTAAATTACTGAAAATATTTCAACATTTACAATCTAAAAATTTGTTTTTTAAACTCAGAATGAATCTCGGGACCCACACTAGAAATTTGCAAAAAAATCTAAAATTAACACTAAATGTCACTGATTAATTTTTGTAAACCTATAAAAAGTTTGACTGATAATTGTGTAATCATTATCTATTTTTATTGAATGTTTAAAAAATTACTTATTCCATTATGTCAAATTAGGATTTCGGGTAAAATACCAACTGCAGACTAATATACTGTGAAATGTTTTGCAAACATTTTAGAAGCTGCAAATATTTTATTCATTTTAATATAGTCAAAATTTATAAATTATTTTGTTTATTATTAATCTTCAATAAATCAGTTGGAAATATGCAAAATTGAATGTACATTCCCATATATAACCAGGAAAGCTATCAGATAACTAGGTATCCAGCTTTGAGATGGATAGCCAGCACACAACTTTTATATACAGTTAGTAGTAATTAAGGTTTCTTTTTATCTGTAAAAATGGAGATCAAGTTAATTTCTTTAAATGATGCAAAAATAATGGCTGTATATTGTGTTTTAGATTGCAGAAGCTTTTGGTCAATGTCTTGGAGGTCTTTTATCTACTGTTGCCCAAGGTATTCAAGTAGAAATAATGATGGAAAATAAAGTTTCAATCAAGAAAGTACACAGTAATCAACCAACAGAGAAGCAAGGCAGCAGGTAAAATAAAAATTGATGTGATATTAATTTATTGACTTCTTAATTTATTTAAACCTGATTGCAAAAACCTTTTACTATTGACTATTGTTTGAGAGTATTGTTATGACTTTTATGCTTATGATTTCTAGCATTAAAATCAACATGGGTGATCTTCAATCAGAAGAAAGCAGAGATGTTGTATTAGAGCTGTCTATTGATTCTTTAGATTCTCCGACAGATTGTCAGACTCTTTTTAATATTAAATTAAACTATTTTAATGTTATTAATGAATGTTTGGAAAGTAGTAATGCTGTTCTTACTGTACTCAGACCAGGTGTGTAAAATTGATAATTTTCAACATTATAATTTTAACATTATAATCTTTAACATTATAATTATTCTTTCTTAAAACTTAATTAATAAGTTAAATAATTTGGTAATTATTATACTAATTAGTTAATTTTAGAAAAATGTGAAGATCATAACAAAGAAAGCTCAAATATTGATCTAAACAAACAAGTATTACGAATAAATGTGACAAAAGCAATGAATAATGCATACGAAAAAGCAGAGGAAGGTGATTTTAATTTGCTTTTTGTTTCACTTGAAAAAAAAAAAAGAAGCTTTTCTGAACTGAGTTAGAAAAATGTGAATAAGTTTCTTTTTGTGAGATCATGCTAGTCAACTGGTTTGAACTGGTTGAACATTTTGCTGGAATAGCTAAATGTTCTGAATCTATCCCCATTTTATAACAGCTCTAACATGTTTTAAGTTCTCAAAACGGTAGTTTGGGTTAGTTGTGAGGTAGCGATACATACATATATCAATACATACATGGAAAGACTTACATGTATACAATAAGTACCCACGTATATACATAAATTTAAACATAATATACACGAAAACTAAAAATAGATTGTATTAATATTAGGATTAATTTTTCCATGACAATCGTTTTTTTAGGAGATTTTTCAGGAGCAGCTGATTTTCTAGAAGAACAGTTATTGGTATTGAATTCAGTTTCTTCTAGGCTTGCTGAAGATGACCAATTACAATGTATGCTTGCGGATGTTGCTTTGTGTGGTAAAGTTACCAAAAAAGCAGGATGGTTTGAAAAAGGAAGAAAAGCTCTCTTAAATACGTTAGTTTAATTGTTTTTACCGTTTTACCATTAACAAACACGATTATAACTTAGTCTAGTTATTTTTTATTAATTATGAATAATCATTTTAGATTGCAACAACATGAACGTCAACGAAGTTCAAATTTGAAATCGAAAAGCTATGCAACAAAAGAACAATGTTATGGAAGGGTTGCTGCAAAGGGTTTTGTATTAAAATAGTTTATATTTGCTTTATATATATGATAATATATATATATATATATATATATATATATATATATATATATATATATATATATATATATATATATATATATATATATATATATATATATATATATATATATATATATATATATATATATATATATATATATATATATATATATATATATATATATATATATATATATATATATATATATATATATATATATATATATGAAATTGGAATACTTTTGTAATTTACCTTAAAATAATATATTATAGGCTTTAATTTGGAAAATATATATTGTAGCTACTTTCTTGGTTTTATCTTATAATAGTTTCAACTCTAGCTCCTTACCTATTGTAAACCCAAGTACCTTTAACTTAGGGGCCGTCCATAAAGTACGTATGCTTGCAGGTGAGATAAAGGCCGTATATAAAGTATGTAATTATCTGAGTAAAGATCCTAGTTTGTCAGCATAAAAGTGCACACATGCCACCCTTTATACACTGCCACCCTTTATACACTGCCACCCTTTATACACTGGTCCTGAGTAAGGCGGACATTTATGTCAGGCAGATTCTTTTTCGAGTACGCAAAATACAGTTTTTTACGGTGTTAATTTTTGGCCAAAAATCTCCCCACGCTAATTGTTCGCGAGACTAGAATATTTTTACGTTTGGTTTTGTCTACACTAAAATATGCAGTTAAGTAACCAAGCTTCATGGCTTAATTGGTCAAGAAGTGAATGTTTTAATGTGTTTAAATATAAGTTATATTTTTTGTTCAAGGAAGAATATAGTTATTTTACACATTCTTATTACTATTGTATTGTTTAAATCATGATGAATAAGTCTACAAAAAGATCCTCGATAAATCACTCTTACCTTTTCTATACTCATAGTTTTAAATTTGAAATTGATACTTACCTGATTTAGTTTTACATTTGAAATTGATATCTTTTAATGCAAAACACATTTCTGATTGATCTCTAACCCTGACTCAAACTATGTAAATTTAATTGCACCAATCCCTATTTTTCAATCGATGTATGTACATTTATTTACGCCAATCCGTATATTTCAGTCGATGTATGTACAATTATTTACGCCAATTCTTATTTTCAGTCGATGTACCTACATCATATAATGTGAATTAAATTTAAATATGTTTAAATTTTGATGACAATAAAAACCGGGTCGCGTAGTTAAAAAATTTCTTAATTTTTGAAAACAGTGTTAAAATGCTTTTTTAAAAATATGGCGAATATTATCGTTTTTAGTGTAGTTTTTTATACTTTATCAAATTAGAATTCATATAAAAAAAAATAAATTACTTTCCTCAAAATTTCAGACCAATGTTTTTATACGATTCTGAATCATATATATATATATATATATATATATATATATATATATATATATATATATATATATATATATATATATATATATATATATATATATATATATATATATATATATATATATATATATATATATATATATATATATATATATATATATATATATATATATATATATATATATAACTATTTTTAAAAATAACACGATGTTTTTTATTCTTGACATGTTTCGTAAAATTTATTTACATTTTCAAAAGATTATTTTACAATAATAAAACTCAGAAAAATAATAACGAACAAAAATTTACATTATAAACCAATATATTTATTACAAACAACTAACTCTAAAAAAAATATATATATAAATAATAATAAACTGACAGTAAAATTAAATAGTTAAGCTTATAGCATAATTTGCAGTTTGTTTATTGTTTGAGGGACTTCCCCATTAAATGTGGAGGACTTCTTTTATCTTTAATTTGTGTTTTGTTGGGGCATTATCCAAAATCTCATAAGAATCACAGTTAGCCAGATTTTTGAAATTGATAGATAAATTTAAGTGTTTAAATATATGAGATTGTTTATCACTTTTAAGGTGCTCATTTATTCCAGTTGCCAAATGTCTGGAGAAACCTCCAGATGTTTGGCAGACATTTTTTCAGAGTTTTATTATTGTAAAATAATCTTTTAAAAATGTAAATAAATTTTAAAAAACATTAATAAGTGACCAGGACCTCGGCCCCAGCTAAAATGAGACTTTTTGCAAACCCGGCCCCGCCAGAATTATAAGATTTAGCATGGGTTGATAGCCGGGGCTATAAAACAATTTATAATACCTAATATGTTATAATTTTATGCTTACATTTACTATTAATCAAATACTGGCATATATTTATATATTTTAAAATCTAATTTACTTCCAACAAGATTGCAAGCAACCACTATTAAGTAATGAGTTACTTTCAAATAAAGAACCAGTTAAAATACTAGGAAACTTATAACTAAAGGCATAAAAGTTGTAAGTTGTATAAAAAAAGAAAACATAAAGTTTTGTAAAAATTATAAGATTTTTTTGAAGTTCAAGGAAAGAAATAGAATTATTTATTATACTGTAAAAAATTTTTATAGCATGAAGCGATAAATACAGTTAAAGAATGCAACTTGTTGAATAAATAGCCAATTAAGAATGAGTTTTGGTTTATCGTTATAGAGATGAAAGTTTGTTTGAGCATTGACTATGATTGTATTTATAGAAAAAAGAAAGAAATGCAACCTTATAAAAATGGGAGAGTGGCCCAACCTTGGCAGATAAAGCTGATCTTATTACATTTACAATGTGCTTTTAGACTTTGTCTGAGATTTAGAGAGTTGTTATTTGTCAATATAGGAATGCCAACAATATTGTAATATTTTTTTGCAGTTAATAAATGAGTTTTGTTGTCTGACAAAAATTGTAGATTTTAAGTCCAGAATTTGAATCCATAAGCCACAGTGAGTCTTAGTCTGTTACAGAAGAGAGGTCAGATTTAAAATTGGCTGCTTGTTCTAAGCAATTAAAGATGATTTTTTGTCAAGACAAGAGTATAAGGTGGAGTCATCAGCAAATTAAGTCACTTTAGATTTCATTATGATTGTTATTGTAGATAAAAAATATTACATGAGCAAATATAGAACCTTGTAGTACTCTTAAAGTTACTTGAAATAAAGAAGAGGGTAGGTCTTCAAGAATAACTTTACTACTGCAGTTAGAAAGAATTTAATAACCTCAAAACCTTTTGCATAGAAAATTATAAGAAACTGATAACAAAGTGAAGAGTAATCGTAGGATACTTAGAGAGGTCAAGGTGTTTTCTAGAGTTTTGAAAAATTTGAACCTTGTGTTTAGAATTTTTTAAAAGTTTAGCAAAAATTGTTAAGAGTTCTGAAGAACACTTTTTGAAGACTATGATGGTAATTTTGTCTAAAGCACAAATGATAGAAGTGTTAAATTGAGAATTAATTTTAGTATTGGAAACCAGAGTAATTTCGATGTTTAACAATTGACTATTTTGTTTATCTGTCAAGAAGAGTATGTCTATTATATTCGAGAATCAAACTAGAGTAAGATTTCTTTGTAAATAGCTCTACTTTACTCTGGGGTAAAGTAAAAAGATCAGACCCATGATTTAGAGATTAAACGTTAGACTTACTTGAGTTAATGACACTGTTGAAAACTAACCAAAAGTCTCTAAAACCTAACATCAAAGATAAGATACAAGGTTTAGTAAACTGAGAATAACAGAGATTTACATCAGATAAGATTTTATTTATACATTTGCTTATTGTAATAGTAAAAAGGACAATTTGTTCTTAAGAGAGATGTTCTTATAAAAAAGATGGCAAAAGTGATTAATGTTGAAAGATGTAGAGTAGAATAAGGCTTGAATTAAAACTGAAGAGAAGTAATAAAAGCTTACAAACTTTTATTCCAGAAGCAATATAAGCTTTTAAGATGCACTTTTTGCACACACACATATATATAATCATATCTGTTTGCTATTTGTTTAGATCCTGGCATACAATATCCTTTCATTGTTATATAAAATTTAGTATATATATGGTGTAGCATTTGTTAAAAGAGAAGATGATTAGATGGATGTGTGACTCTAACAAGGCATAAAAAGGAGGCATAATCTTAGACAGATTTTTTTTTAGAAAAGGTTAAAGTAATTTAGGTATCAACACGTAGAGTGGTAGCAACCTCAGTATAAAATGGTTGTGGTAGAAGTAAGAAAATTTGAAGCGTTTGCCTTACATATTGTAAAAATGAGCTTTAGTTAGGAATAAAAGTGCACTAGATTGTTTATGTTAGGGAAACAGCTTAAAAGAGGAATGTTAAAGCCTAATGGTGATGATGATGATAATAAAGATAGTGATGATGATCATGATCATGATGATGATGATCATCATCATAATTTTTCTTATCATCGTCAAGCTTTCTGTTTTTATGCTGTTAATGATGATGATGATTATGATGATCATGTTGATCACAATGATGTTCATACATGCATATATATACAAAATATAATATAAATTTTAAATTTAAAAAAATATACTTTAGGATGTATAAATGTTTATGCAGCACTGGTCACAAACCTGGCCCCGGCTATTTTTTATCAAACCTTGCCCCGGTCAAATTTCAAGTCCGGTCGTTTACTACAAAACATTTCAAGAATAAAAAACATCGTATTATTTTTAGAAATAATTACTTATTTTATGCTATTACGACAATATATATATAATATATATATTGATATATCGACGTTTTACTGCCAACGTTAAAAATCCTTGCAAAATTGACTGCTTTAACAACGTTACAATAATGCTTTTCAAGTAACGTTTTTTCAACGTTAAATTGCGACGCTTATGCAACGCTCTTTAAGTAACGCTTTTTCAATGTTTAGTTGCAGCATTTTTGTAACGTCTTTTAGTAACGTTTTTTCAACGTTACGCTACAACGTTTATTCAACGTCTCTTTAACAACGTTACATATCTTTGCAAAATCAATTACTTTATCAACGTTTCCGCAACATCTTTTGCGAGCGGTTTTTAACGTTGATTCAACGCTGACATGTTTGCTGGGTTGTTTTAATAACCAATCTGTTTTTAATTAGTAACTATACTTTAAAATTTTTAGTAGGGGATACCGGGGCATTAA